AAAACCAGGTATTTACTATTTAAAATAATAAAAGGCCATCGCCTGTGTCTGTGCTGCATTGGCCTAGAAAACTGAAGGAGCTTATAATTGGTTGGTTCTGGGGATTTATGACAAAACAGCCTGCTCTATGAGTTTCCTGATAAAATACTAATTTTTACTAAAGAAATTGATAGCGTTTTCTCACTATCCTCAGCAAACCAAATGCTCGAAACTTTGATAGTAATGCATGTGATTAATTTTCTAAATATATTTTTTCAATTTTGGAGCATTACTATCATTCAGTTAGGCTAGCGCAATGGTTTATTAAACCCAAAGCAAGAAAGAACCAACGTTTTCTTTATAAATAAGGGTGAAGTATGCATGTCAAGATGCCATTCCCCTAGCAATGCAACTCTTGCTCACAAAAAAATCAGTGTGTCATCCTCGCTTCTTTGTGTTTCACAATTACCGGCGTTTGCATTGCTACGCGGCCACCCCAGACAAAAATCGTGACGTGCACTTTGCAATAGACTGCCGTCAATCAAACAAGTTGACGTCATTTACACGCTTTTGGATCGGACTGGATAGGCGTTTTGGATAGAAGTTTTGGCGCCTTTTGAATCACACACGCGTGTAAATGGCGTCAACGTGTTTGATTGACRGCAGTCTATTGCAAAGTGCACATCACGATTTTTGTCTGGGGTGGCCACGTAGCAATGCAAACGCCGGTAATTTCCTAGATTAGCCATTCTGAGGTTGAGGGAAAAACTGAGTGGAGTTGGCATTGCAGTGCATTGTGGGGCTGTTTTGGGGGACAAAATAGACACCATCTTTGAAATATGTCCCCTAAAACAGTCCCAAAATGCACTGCAATGCCAATGCAACCCAGTTTTCCCCTCAACCTTGGAATGGCTAATAGTTCTATACAGATAACAATGAGGTCTGTATTGAAGAAAACAAACAACCTCTTTCAAACACAAACGATATGAACCGGTTTACTCAAAAGGAGGAAAAAGATATTGAAAAATGTATGGAGTGACACCAAATTGGTGTTTAGTGTTTAGTAAATGAAATCCCATCATTGGCACTTTTAAAGACCCATAAAAAACGAGGTTTTTTTTTTAATATTGAGGGGTTAAATTTAAGCAGTAATAACATGCATGAAAAAAATTACTCATTTCTTATTGGCTTAGAGCAGTGTAATACAGTGCAAAAAAGTTTAATTCAGTGCAGAAAAAAGAAATTAAGTATGTGCTGTGTGCATTTATTTTTAGCAAAGTGCTTCTCAGGCCTGTAGCGGGGGGAGGGGCCGAGGGGGGCCTGGGCCCCCCAATAATTTCACACCTTTTTTTAAGTAAACGTCCAGCTAAATTTCAAACACTATTATAATCTTAAAATTGATAGAGGCGACTCGTTTTTCCGAAAAAAGCTCACATAGTTGGCATGTGTAAAGGATGAAAAAATAAAACAAGACATGCGGATATGGTCATATGGGGCGTGGCCAAACGAGCCAGCACCCCACCCCACCCCCCCCCACCCCAATAATTTTACCCCTGCTACGTGCCTGCTTCTTGACACTGTTCGAGTGTTCTGCCAATCCTCAAGTGCTTTATAACTCCACACAGCACAGCAAGTTTTTTTTTCTTTTATAAAATGCGGAGGGCGCATGCGTGCTGTGTGCTCTCATATAGCAGTACCTGGGGGAATAGTGGTAGATAGATAAAACGTTCTGAAACCCCCTGGAAGCATTAGAGTTCTTTGTAAAGAGCTGTTTTCAATAAAGTATTGGACTCTAAAGGTCTAAAAAAGCAAATGGAGGTATAAACATCGTTTTTTGTTTGAGTTTTATTTTGACTTCGATTTAATGGCATTGGGGTTGCTGTGTTAACCTACGCCGCTCGTAAACTGAAAACTAGTCATGCACAAAATGGCGGACACTGAAGGTCAGGTTGCTGTGACTGTAGCAGCAAGTGAAAGCTTGAGACAGATGCTGATTTAGTATTTCAGTAAGAGTTTCAGAAAGTTAAGATATTATCAAATGCTCTATTTGCTATACATGTTACTAAGATCTTGTCTCCAGTAACAGGAGGGAATTTTGCATGCGCACGCGCCGAAATGCTTGACTGAACACGAGTGCATACCCAGATGAGCAAGAATACTGCATTGTTTACCTATTTAATCTAATATTTTTACCTAATTTACCAGTGCTTTAAACATTATAAAATAAGATACCTTCTAGTCAACTAATATGATGAAAAAAGAGATGAGTTTTCTTGACAGAATGGACCTTTTAGCGCGAAGAAAACACTGCAAAAGTGTCATGGCTGCCTTCGTTGTCCATATTTAACACAAGTAAAATGCTCTCAAATATTCAGTGCCAGAGGTACATCGTATAGGTATGGATACACATAGTAAGAGTTTATTAATAATTACAATATCTTGGCCAACCCTAACTGTGATCGACATTTTGTATATATAAAAAAGTATCCTTATTCTATTTCAAATCACTTGCATGTTCAAATTTTAGTAAATGTTCGAGTAGCAATCACTCTAAAACTAGACGCTATCTCCACCTCCTGTGTTGGTTTTTTATTACCAGAAATACTTCTTCATTCGAAAAATACAGGTTATTTTAGAGAGAAAAATCGGCTTCAAGGTGTATTTACATTGTTTTTGGGGGGAGTTTGAAGCCTTTGTATAAATTATATCTTCTTTTTACGAGAAGCATCAGGCTAATCAAAATTCTTTTGCCATTTTTTTATAAGGCTTTGGTAATATTGCTGTTCAACTCCAAGGAAGAAAGATATTTTAGAAATCGGGTATTTATATTCATTAGTTATCCGCCTATGTTGTGTGCACATTTTTTGCTTGCATAAATTACGTTAGAGAGAAATGTTGTTTTTTTTCAAATTTCTCAAAATCCATACGCTATCTCCACCCTTAGCTTGCCATAATTATATTGTACGATAACAGTGTTTTCATATGATCTTAAGTTTCATGCCGCAAAAAATCGGCTTATACTAAAAAAATTAAACTTTTTGCAAGTAATATAACGCATAAAAACCGTTTATTGGACACAGTGAATTCATTAAATAGTCTTGTTCGCAATAGCTGTAGTTCTGTCTGGAGGTCGCAACCTGAAATAGAATATGTCAATGGTCAGCATTTTGAATTAAGAAAGATCTGAAATAAATATGACTTACGTTGTGATAGTCCTTTCATGTGTTGTGAAACGTCCTCAAAACGTCCAGGAGGGAGAATGGTTTCGCCGCCAGGACCACAGAGGATCTGGCCAAAACACGTGTCTTTAACTTGCCACCCATTACATTCATATCCAAAGTGTTTGCTACAGCTTCGGTTTGAGTGCTGGTTGAAATTGTCGAAGGAGCCACACCCGCACCCGTCATAGGCTTTTTTTCTCGGTTTCCCCTTTCCCTTCGTTGAGCGAGCTGCAACAAAGTGCGTACTCGGTGATCATGCTTTGTATCAAACATATGCAGATTCTACTTTTGGTAAATTTATGAAAAAATAAAAAACTACTTACGAGGAGGAAAGTTTTTCCGCTTTTTCGAAATTCGGCGACCGCCCTTCTACACGTAGAACAGTTGCTCGCTAGCTGTTTCAATTCCAAAACACTGCTTGAAATCACTTTTAAAACTTGTGGCTGACTTTGCTTTGTTCTCGTAGTGCTTACATACTGAACACGTTTTGTGAGAGCAATAAAATTCGTTTACAAACAATGTAACCACCAAAAATATCAATTTAAATGACCTCGCCATGTTTCAAACAAGGCTAAAATCATACGTCAAGGGTCAGTGGCCACCTCTGTAGCCTGCAATCACCTTGTTATGCATCAGCGGATACGTGCATGCGCATGCAAAGTTCCCTCTTGTTGTCTCCAGTTTGTTTTGTGGATTTAGTGTGTGCACTCTACTGTTTTGTGTTACTTTTTTGATCTGTTATTTCAACTCCATAACAATTTTGCCCCAGGGGCTGGTGGAATATAGGGGTATTTTCTAAGAACCTTGACCCATATCTGGGGAAATACAGATAGCTTTCCTCTAGTCTCAAAGCAAAGTCCCCACATTTGCCCGGGGTCCCCCCCCCCCCCCCCCCCCCCCCCCCCCCCCCTCCCCCCCCCCTCCCCCCGGGGGCCCCCCCCCCCCCCCCTCGTGGAAGCCGATGACAAGTGCATAATATTAACTAAAGATTGCAGAATATATCACAGGTAGCCCAAGCTTGGTTTCTGTGGTGTCTTGTTATAAGGAAATGTATGGGGATTCATCAAAAATTTCAATAAAATCATTGAAACGTGAAATAAAGCCTCGACATTTTACCCGATCATTAAGAAATAGCACTTCTTTCGCTCTGCGTGGTTATCGTGGTTATCTGTGATTGATCTTTGAAAATCATAAAAATCAGAACAAAAATTAAGGTCATTGTTTGTTTCCAGATCAATGTCAAGCAGCAGAACTGACAGCAGTAGCCAGGAAAGGAATTTGGTTCATGCCATACAACAAAGGTGCAATGAAAGTGTGATTCTTAAATTGGTTGATGGTGCTAATGTCAACATTGCTGATGAATATGGAAAAACTGCTTTGTTTCATGCCATCCACTCAAGTAATTATAAAAATGTAGTCGATACATTGATTCACGCAGGTGCTGATGTCAACGTTACTGATAATGATGGCAAGACTGCTTTGTTTTATGCCGTTAGGCAAAAGAACAACAAACGTGTGGTTCAAGCATTGACTGATGCACGTGTTAATGTCAACATTACCGATAAAGATGGCAAGACAGCATTGTTTTATGCTCTGGAGCAAAAAAACAGCGAAAGCGTGGTGCAAGTACTAATTGAAGGTGGTGCTGATGTCAACATAACCGACAAAGATGGCAATAATGTCTTACTTCATGCTCTCGGGAAAGATTACTTTGAAAGTTTGATCCTTTCTTTGATTGATGCTGGTGCTGATGTCAATGTCCTAAATAAATCCCAACAAAGTGCTTTGTATTTTGCTGTACAGCAATGCGACAACGAATCTGTGGTTCGTGCCTTGATTGAAGCTGGTGCTGATGTTAACCAAACTGTGGTTAACTCTTCAACTGCAATGTTTGTCGCTGTCAGCTTAAGTAGCAATGAAGGTGTGGTTCGTGCCCTAATAAATGCTGGTGCCGACGTCAACATAACCAATAATGCTGGTCAAACTGCTTTGTTCAATGCCGTCTTAGAGAGAAACAACGAGAGTATGATACATACATTGATTGATGCCGGTGCGAAAGTCAATGTAGTTGACAAACATGGTGGTACCGCTTTCTCTTATGCCTTAACTAGAGGAAACACTGACAACGAAAGCACGGTTCTTGCATTGATTGCTCGTGGGGCGAAGGTCAACATAAGCAAGGATGGCAAGTCCGCTTTGCTTTGGGCAATCGAACAAAAATGTAGCGAAAGTGTTGTCCGTGCAATGATTGAAGCTGGTGCTGATGTTAACAAAACTGACTGTAACAACAAAACCCCTTTGTATGATGCCGTTCAATACGACAGAAACGAAGGAGTCATCAGTGTATTGATTGAGGCTGGTGCTGATGTCAACTTGATTTATGATGGTGGGAAAACTATTTTGTTTTATGCTGTTGAAAAATATAACAACGAAGGTGTTGTTCGTTCATTGATAGATGCTGGTGCTGATGTAAACATTTCTTCTAGTGATGGGAAAACTATTTTGTTCTACGCCGTGCAACATTATTACAACAAAAATGTGGTTCAGATGCTGATTGATGCTGGCGCCGACATCAAGGTAACTGATATGAATGACCAAACTATTTTAATTCATGTCGTTCAAGTACGTTATGATATCGACGAGGAAAAGGACGAAAAAGCTCGTGTATTGATTGATTTGGGAGCTGAAGTTAACAATAGGGACAAATCGGGTAAAACTGCTTTGCTCTATGCCGCACAGTCCAATAATGTAAACCTAGTTCGTGTATTGATTAATGCTGGTGCTGATGTCCATGCCACTGATAGTGATGGTCAAACTGCTTTGCTTTATGCCGTCCAACAAAATGACAACGAAAATGTGGTTCGTGCACTGATTGATGCTCAAGCTGATGTTAACACAACTGACAAATATGGTTATACTGCATTGTTTCATGCCGTCCAGCAAAGAAATAACGCAGAAAACGTAGTTAAAGCATTGATTGCTGCAGATGTCAATGTTAACGCAATTATTAATGATGGCCAAACTGCTTTGCTTTATGCTGTCCAGCAACAAAACAACGAAGGTGTAGTGCGAGCATTGATTAAGGCTGGGGCTGATGTCAGTATAACTGACAAGTATGGAAAAACTGCACTATTTTATGCTGTCCAAATGACTTGGCGCGGTGAAGGTGTGGTGCGCGCACTTATTGAAGCCAATGAGGACATTTTAACTGTCAAAGACATTTATGGCCGTACTGCATTATTTTACATTAACTTGGGATCTTCAAAGGCAGCCATTGAGTATCTTCTCGAAAAGGGAGGCATCAAATGTCTTCGCTTGAAAGACAATTGCAATGTCGATATCTTAACGTTTGCTATTGAAAACTATATATCTGAAACAGGGATGTATGATTCTTTCAAGGGTGGAATCCTGGATAAGCTCACAAAACAAGGAATTATAAAACGCGAAAGTGTCGCTCGGGCAATGATAAATATCATGTTTAGAAAGTATGTTGCTGAAGTCCTTAACAGTTCAAATATTGAAATATCCTCTTACAACCTCAGGAATTTTGAAGGATTATCTTGCTTATATAAGGAAAATGTGGATTACAATGTGTGGGAGAGAACAAAGAAAATGGAAAGTTTTTTGGCAGTGTTGAGGGAAGATTTCCGCGGAACGTCTAAAGCTCTTGAATTACTAGTTGAGTTGGGTGCGGATCCAGACAGTGCAGACTCCGATGGTAATACTGCTCTGCACCTCACAGCTCGTTCACCATTGATGGGTGCTTCCAAAGAAACTGTTATGGACTTATGTAAGCAATTGAAGAAGTTTGAAGTACGATTTAATGCTAGAAACCATGAAAATCAAACACCTCTTCTGTTTTGCCTCAGTCAAATAACGGGAAACGATTCGCAGTCGCCAATAAAGACCGTAGTGAAAGTTTGCAGATTTCTAGTAAAAAATGGATCCAATATCGAGGAGACATCAAGAACTGGAGAGGCTGTTTTCCATTTTATGATGAAGCTCTTCCAAGGAAGTCTTAAACTTTATGACACGACTGCAAGACAGGAAGTACTGAATTATGTGATCGAACTTCTGCAGTTGTTTGTACATACAGAATCTGCTAAAGTAGCTGTCATTAAATCTGAT